GGTCCTAAAAAAAATCCTGAGGGCGGTGTTCTGGCAAGCCTGTAGCTTCTACTTCTGCGTCTCGTTAAAAAAAAGCGTCTAGATCGGTGCAACATAGTTTACGACCGGGCGGCCAATTGCTTTGTAAAAAAAAAGCAAAGAATTCTTATCTTTACCCCAGGTGCTGCCGGCTAGCGCTTTGAGTATAAAAAAAAGGCTGTGGAGTGTTGCGGTCGTATGCGGAGTGAAGGAGTGCAGGCTGCCTAGAGTTACTTCCAATATGTTTGGGTTATTTACCGTCGGAATTTTTGTGTCATCGACCATCACATCTAGTTCAAGCCTGCTCGTCCAGCTGGTGAAGAGGATAGCCGAGGATTTTGTCGGTTGAATTCGTAGTTATCTTGCAGTGAAGAAGTGGAAGAGATCAGCGAGGTAGCCGTTTACTTTAAAAAAAAGGTCATCAATATCCTGGCCAGACGCCATTATCGTACAATCATCGGCATACGAAAAAAAAAAAACTCCTTCTGGTGGTAGAGGGAGTTTCGAGATGTAAAAGTTAAACAGTAGAAAAAAAAGGACACCACCCTGCGGAACCCCCTGTTTAATTTTTCTAGGTTTAGATGTTACAAAAAAAAAAATTACCGATGATTGTCGACCACTCAGGTAGCCCATTACCCACCTCTGCAAAAAAAAAAGTAATGAGGATTCTTCAATGTCCGTTAGTAGCACTGAGTGATTGACTGTGTCAAAAGCTTTTGACAAGTCCAGTGCTACTAGGACAGTTCGCGCGCAGGGTCGGTTAAAGCCAAAAAAAATGGTGTTTATGGCGTTAAGTGCAGTTGTGGTGCTGTGCACTTTTCGGAAGCCAAAAAAAAGCGCTGCTGGACGCAGACGGTGAGTGAAGGTCGGAAGCAGTAAAGCCTCAAGTGTCTTCGCTACGGAGAGGAGAGCTATCGGCCGAAAGGACTCTCCTTTGTTGGCTGGTTTCCCCGGTTTAAGTAGCGGACCCTCGTGAGAAATTCTGCTCCCGCTGGTCCAAGGTGTTTCAAAAAAAACATGCTTATTCCGTCGGGGCCGATGGATTTGGAGGCTTTCGTCTTCCCGATGAAAAAAAAAACCTCCTCTCTGGAGAAATCAAGCATCGCGCTGGCGTTTAGCAGTTTGCGCAAAAAAAAGGTTACACGTCGTTTCGCTTTGTCTACCGAGGGATGCCGTGTGAAAAGTCGGAAAAAAAAGCTCGCGCATCTCTTCGGGTCCGACGAGGACATTTCCACCCGGTCATCGCGTAAAAAAAAGTTAGACAGCGGCTTTACTGTAGCCCAGAGCTTGGTTGCCCCAGAGGAGAGGTTGCAGGTCCTTAGGCGCTCCTCCCACGGGCCAGTTAGCTTTTTTAAAGTTAACAAATGTAAAAAAAACCGCGGAAACAAAGTCGGGAGGCCTGTCAATCGAGATTTGTATGGGCAAATGAAAAAAAACTAACGTCAGTATAGGGCGCCAGACTATACTGTTTATCAGACCAGCACTCGCAAAAAAAATGTCTGGCGAGCTTTGGCAATTACCCATAACTCTGGTGGTAGTGTTGTCGTTAAAAAAAAAGAATGTGGAATCGTCTATCTGTTCCGACAGCTCCATTCCTCTACGGTCGTTAAAAAAAATAGAATGCCAAAGATCGTGATGCGCGTTATAGTCGCCCAAAAAACAAACGGTAAAAAAAACTGAGTAGCGCACCTATATCAGGGGTGTATCCTGCTGGGCAATTTGTAACTGAAAAAAAATATATATTGAATATTTTGAGCTCGACACGGCCTAACCGGATAGCTATGCCTTAAAAAAAAAGGGTAGTATCCTTGCGGTCGTTGTCGCCATCGACAATACTGCACGGTGTTGAAAAAAAAGAACGCTAAGCCCCCACCGTGGTCTCGCTCGCGATCCTTGCGGATTATGTTGTATCCGGCCCTGTTCAGAAGATCGGGCGGTCTACTTGGTTTCCTGGATCGCAGCAATTGGAAAAAAAACCCGGCTCATGTAATCGACTATCTCGTCAATCTTTCACTAGAGTCCGTTGCAAAAAAAAAGTAGGAGTCGGGTCTGTCTCGGGTGAACGTTCGTGATTCGGAGGGTGAGGGAAAAAAAAATAGATGGTGTGTGTTGCTGCTGCACTACCCGCGAGAGTTGGTTCCGCACGTTAAAAAAAATTGGCGGAGGGTTTGTAGAGACATGCGGGGGCAGATTCCTACAGCACGGGGCAAAAAAAACATGGCTCCACTCACGGGTGGTGCGCAGGCCATAGCACGTCCGAAAGTGACACCAGCCAGAGCAAAAGTTGCCCTGATCAGAAGGATTTGGAGCAGCTCAGCTGCAAGGTGTAAAAAAAATGGCGAACTTAGACTAAAGTTACCTATAGGCCCAAATGGGGTTAGGTCGCGGAAAGGGTGACAGCCCTTGGCCGGATAAAATCCGGCTCAGCTCCGGTGCATAGAACCGGCTGTCGTGAGAGTCGTCCTTTTTCGTCGTTGGTGCTGAACCAAGTCATCCTCCTTACGCATGAAAAAAAAATATTTTCATCTACCAATATCTTTACTTTTCAATTGCTAAAGTAGCTAGTCTATATGCCATTCTTACTCTTGGGTTCTCGTCGCATACACTGGCAACGTGAGAAGCCCTAGCAAAAAAAAATAGCCAACCCAACATCTATGCACCGGAGTGGTGGGATTCCAGGACAAGCCCAAAAAAAATCCAATTCTTCAATTAGGAAAAAGGAGCTTCCAAACTCGTGGATATTTCTCTAATCGGTTACGCTGTCATCTCTACCGTTTAAAATATGTACAGAACGATACAAAGATTGCAAAAGATATTTTTTTACAACATTTAATGCAGTGACCACATAGAACCAAATTCAGTATTGAGTTTCTGCTAGATGAGAGTTACTGTCAGTGAGGATTACTCTTCAGTCCGGTAGACGATTGTCTAGTGACAAACCCGTTGAAGAGAGCTTATTGATCTTATTGCGGATTCACAAATATGTACTTAGAAATCACGAAAAAGGCATCCGGAGCATAATTTTTGTAATACCAGATTACAGTACAGGAAACAACATCTCAAAACTGAATTGATCATGTGAGCGGGCGAAGACATGACTTCTGTTTTTCGATCCAAGGTCACCAACATTGACTCATCCGAAAATTGGCGCTGATGCAAGCGCCAAATAAAAAAAACTCCTTGTTTTATTGTTTAACAAATGAGAAAGAATTAAGCATGTAGAATTTACTTCCCGAATTCTTTTTTATTAAAGAACTTTGGTTAGGTTTCAGCCGAGATACACATTCTAAAAAAAAAATCTACACGATTTTTTTATTTTATTTTTTCGTTTTGCTACACAACCAGTAAAATATGAGAGCAATGCCTGAGAGAATGCAAAAAAATTCTCATAATATTTTGAATTCAAAGAAATATTCTATTTTATTCTATCGTAAAATTGCATTGAAACGGTTTCAAAAACTACGAGCGAAAAAAAAGAGTGGAGAGTGCTATTAGCCAACATAAGAGCAGTCAATTGTCACTTGACAACATATTATCCTCTCTGAGAAAAAATAGTAAGTAGTAAAATGTAAATGCCGCCACAAACTAAGGCTGCAACTACCCATTTTACTCACCAGCCGTCCATAACTGACGACGTTAGTAGTGAAATACATACACGAGCTATCGACGCTGCTGAGATCGGCGAAATGTTGCCAGCTGCCTGTGTGTAAAAAAAATTTTGAACAAATTCATAATTTTCGTCAACGAATTTCATAATTTATTTGCTTTAAAAAAAACACATGATCTATATAGTAACAAATAATTAGTTACGCATTTAGTTTTCATTTCAAAAAAAAAAAACTACGCATTATTTTCGATTATTTAATGTTACTTTAAGAAAGGCTATACAAAAAAAATTGTATAGCAACGAAAAATGAGCCGAGCCGGTTTTACGGAAAAATCAAAACTAAAAAAAATTCTGCGACACAAACGTCAGCAACGCTATGGTAAATCGGTGACAACTTTGTGAAAAAAAAGCGCTCTCATAAGATAGGTTACTATGGACGGCTGGTACGCGCGTTGGGTAGTAAAAAAAAAAGTCTCACTTGAGTTGACAGTAACTAAATTAAACTGGCAACTGTGAAACGTACTAATGGAATTGTCAACAATTGTGGTAAGTGGAGACACTCCCACATACATATGTATGTAAAAAAAAACTATGAAGTAGGAGCGCCACAGAACGAAGTTCGGCTGAGTAAAGTGAGTGAATATGAGTTTTCTGTGTTGAGGAGCAATGTCATTGCCAATTGTTGGCGAAGTTTAAAGAGGAAAAAAAAAATTCCATACCAGCGACAACAAAAAAAGCAACTACAAATTTTACTGTTATTGCAGAAGAGGCCACTTCTTTCTTTGCCACACAACAACTAATTTATATTCTTGACGCAATTTAAAAAAAAGCAAAGCAAAGTTGGTTTGCAAAGCGAATAGAAAAGTTGGATTGCGCCGATCAAAAAAAAGCAGCGCTGTAGTAGACGTGTGACGGCAGCAATATTGGTCTACTTATACACAAAAAAAAAAATGTCGGCATGATGTTCGTGTTAAAATGCCACCGCACAACCGATGAGCCGTAAAAAAAACGCTACTTTTCAATAAACTACTTAAGCAACAAACTCGACAACAAAGAGAACAAAAAAAAAAACAAACACAACAGCTTAGCGTAGCGAACAGTAAAGCAAAGTGGCTGGATGGCTGGCTGGCTGGCTGCCGGCTGGGTTGTTGGCTTTCTCACCGCGATTACGTTTAACTCACAAAAAAAAGATGCAATTGAATTTGAATCACCAACAAATGGTAGTGAGCATATGCACATTTAAAAAAAATTGTATGTCACACATGTACGAGTGAATACAACAACTGTTTGCTTGTGTCGGTAAAAAAAAGTTTGCCATGTCGCCGACTCGGTTGTACGCCGGGAATAAAACTCGATCCACAAAAAAAAACTAGCCACAGTTTACCGGTTGCCTTCTAACCGATCAATTGATCGCTAAGCCAAAAAAAAAAGAAAATAAACTCAACAGCAAGCTGAACGTCAAGGATCAAAGAAAGGATTATAAAAAAAAAGCGAGACGGAGGTGGATAGCAGTGTTGTGTAGTTGTGCGCAATATTTGGAAAAAAAAAAAGAAAAACAGAAAAGAAAACTAGAAAAACAAATTAAATTGTGAAAATGTTTAAGTTTGTGTGTTTATTCGCCTTGGTGGCAACCAGCGCCGCCTCTTCCAGTACCTCCGAATAAAAAAAACTCCTTACCAGTGCCCTAAAAATGGTGAAGGAGTGTGGTGATCGTTCAATGGAAAAAAAAATGAAGGTAAGAGTGATGATGGTGTGAAACATAAAGTAACAAGCAATAAATAAAAAAAAATAATATCAAACAAAATTAGTTAAAGTATCCAATAAAAATAAAAAAATAAAAAAAAAAAAACCAAAACCAAAATACAGTAAACTCAAATGAAATAATATAAACTAAAAACCAAAAAAAAAAACATAATAAACTGAATTTATATACAAATTAATTAAAAAAAAAAAAATACTAGAAAAAAAAAATAAAATAAAAAAACTACCTTGAATTTAGTTTATTTTTAGTTTTAGCTACAAAAAAAAATAGAACTTGCATAAAAACTTCACTCATAATGTAAATCAAAAAAAGGAAAAACAAAAAAAAAAAGAACAAAAATATTATTGAAATATAAGGGAAAAAATATAGCAAAAAAAACAAAAAAAAAACAAATTTAACTAAAAGCAAACAAAATAAAATATAATTAAAATAAACTAAATTGAATTATATAATATAAAAAAATGAAATAAAATAAATTAATGTAAATTAATTTAACCTCAAAAAAAACAATATTAAACAAATTGAAGAAAAGTAAAAATAAAATAAATTAATTTAATAAAAAAAAAATGAAATAAATAAAATAAAATAAAATAAAATAAAATAAAATAAGAAAAAAAATAAAAAAAAAAATTAAAATGAAACTATTTAAATAAAATAAAATAAGCTTAAGTAAAAATAAAAAAAAAATAATATATGTAAAACAAAATAAAAAATTCAAATAAAAGAACATTAAAAAATGAAAAAAAATAAAATAAAATAACACATAAAAAAACTAAAATAAAATAAAAAATATGAAATGAAAAAAAAGGAATTTAAAAAAATATACAAATAAAATAGAGTTAAGTTAAATAATTAAAAAAAAAAAAAATTTGAATAATACAAAGGGAATATAATAAGGTATAATAAAATATAATAATTAAAAAAAAATACATATAATTAACTAAAATAAAATGAAAAAACAAAATTAACTAGAGTAAAAAAAAAAAATATGGTATAAAATAAAATTTAAAAAAATAAAATAAAATAAAATAAAATAAATAAAAAAAAAATAAAAATTAAGAAATAAATGGAATAAAATAATATAAATGAGAAAAATGAAAAAAAAAATTATGGGAAAAATAAATATAATATATAAAAATAAAAAAAAATTTTAGCAAAAAAAAAAAAAAGAAAAAAATTAAATTTTAAAATAAAATAAAAGAAAAAAATTAAATTTTAATAAAAATAACAAAATTAAGTAAAAAGAAAATGAAATAAACTGAGATAAAATAGTATTAAATAAAATTAAAAATATATAATAATATAAAATAAAAAAAAAAATAATAATAACAAAGAGCTTGCTTAAGTAGATAGTTCGAATAGTCTTCATAAAAAAAAACGATATATTAACAAGCTACGAGATTTTGAAAACCATTATTATATCCAATGTGGTTATACAATAGTTAAGCTTCATAGGCAAAGTATTGAAAAAACAGGGTGCACAATATAATCGAAAGCGGACCTTGAATAGAAATCATGTACAAACGGCACTAGCGCCACCAATACATTCAAAAAAAAATTTTCTTTTTATTACAAGTTCTTACTTATAGACATTACTATTTTCCTTATTTAAAAAAAATATCCGCTCTATATGCCATTTCTATTTCGTATCGTGTTTGCCATTTTTACTGAAAAAAAACATTTGAATTTGTATGCTATAAAAATATGTTTTCGTGAGGAGGGGTCTGTGAAAATTTTAACTTATTATGGGCAGTGTATGACATTAAACTCCCACTTATTTCCATACTTAGAAAAAAAAAAATTCGTATTCATGACTTTAGAGTAGTTTTATCCTTTGGGAATTCCTTGCTAAAAAAAAGCATTTAGGATAATCCATTCCGATTGCCTGGTTTTTTAGACACATGCTGTCTAAAAAAAATACCAGTACTTACTTTTGTTGGTGTTTTGGTTAGCTGTGTTTGTATTTGCTTCCAAATAAATACAATTATCTTCTTCATTTACATCCACGTTCTTGAATGCTCTAAATTTTATAAGAAAAGTTGTTTCCAGAGATTCTCACCTTACTCTTAAGTCTTATGCCTTAAGGATTTAAAAAAAAAAATAAAAAAAAATTGTATATATATCTCTATATGACCTTTAGACTCTTCTATAAAAAAAAATTTATTCACATTTATTTGAAAAGTTAAAAAAAAATGTAGATAAATTTTCAAAAAAAAAACTTTTTCAATCTCACACTCTTCTCCCTCCAATCGACAACAGGAACGTGCGTTAAAAAAAATCGACACGGAAAATGGCGATGTTAAGTTGACTGAAGGCATTTCATTGATAAAAAAAAAAAACATTCCAGTGGGACGTTCACTGAGTGATGCTGCCTTGCCCGACGAGCCTGAAAAAAAAAAAAATGAGGTTGATGCTTTGTTGGTGGAGCGTGTGGCAAGATTCTTCGGCACAAAAAAAATGCAATTCAAAGTGCCCAAAGACTCAATTCAGGATATGCAACGTGCGCTTGAAGAATGTAAGTAAAATGTTATAATTACCAACAAACTAGATTAAAATAAAAAACTAATGCCTCCTTATAAACACCCATACATATATTGGAGCAGGAAAAGTAGCAGAAGCATAGAGAAAACTAAAGCGGTTTAACGCGTGCTGAAGATGTGCAGTCGAGTGAAATCTAATTTTTGAGTAAGAAAAAAAAAAAGAAAACAAAAAAAAAAAACACAAAACAAGCGAACCAAGTTACCGCTATCAAAAAAAACTTATCACTATGTCAGGTGCATTCGCATTGCATATCTATTTATAAACGTGTGAAAAAAAAGTCACACGGATGCAATTTACTTACTTTTATGTGGGTTATTTATGGCATGGCAAAAAAAAACAAGCCAACAGGCGTGGAAAAAATCCTGTTTTCACTACTAAACACCGTACACAAAAAAAACTTGTTGTCAGCATATGTAGTTATGTATATGCATGATAGTAAGTTCAATATGAAAAAAAATTGCTTGCGCTATGTATGTGCATGTGGTCATTTTGAGGTCGTCAAACTGGTGTCATACAAGCAACAAGTTGTTTTGGCTTTGGTCTTGAAAGTGCAACGGTGCATTGTTACTAAAAAAAACCAATAGTCAACTTCTGTGCACGCTATATATGCTTTTCAATTTATCTCCTATTCGTTAACTGTAAATTGTTAGCTTATAAATATACACACGAGTATACGAGTATGTGTAATTAAAAAAAAATAACAACTGAAGCGATTTTCCAAGGAGATGCTCCTCCACTTTGTCGGATGGTCTCTTGCTGATTTTCCCACAAATCGAGGAACCTACAGTTCATTCCCTCTGAATGTGCGAAAAATTTTTAGGAGAAAGATTGATATTACTAGAAACTAGTTCATATTCATTCTGCTAAATAAAAAAAAATCGCCAGTCCAAGTATAGTTATGACATGCAATTATCCTCAGAAAAAAAACCAACAGACGTCCCGTTTGCTGAAAAAAAACCTCTAGATGTAAAACCACAAATTGGAGTAGGAAAAAAAACAAAAATCGATTCAACGGTTACTAAGCGCCATTATTTTATATATTCTGGCCTTTCTATTGTTCGACACACTCCGAAGACCTTGTATGTCATTATGAACCTGGTCTCCTCAAATTAGTTGATACCACATTTGATTCGCTTACATGAGAATGAGTGAATTCCTCCTTTGTTATCTGAAAATTGTAATATTTAGTATGAGTCTGGCTAAAGCTGGGGCAATTTTACTCGCGTATTTGAGATATTTTTGGAAGCTAAGTAAGCGGAGACATTTAATGGCTAAGCTCCGATTTATCGCGTAGCCATGAGCTCTTACTTAAATGCCCTCATCTTTTTAGTTATTAACAATATATCCGCAAAAAAAACTCTGTTGCTGTTCGCAACCACATTTCAGCGGACTATATATTTATTATATATAAAAAAAAAAGCAATCGTTCGCTACATCATCAATAGATACATCATCTGATTTTTTTACTTTAAAAATACCATCCCGCATTATATTGCATATCTTCTGTTTTCTCTTACTACTTCGGGTCTAAAAAAAATGGTTTCGAGAATCGGCGGGTAATGTTAAACTCTCTGAGTGTATTTCTATCATGAAATAAAAACTCCTTATAAAAATCTATAGCCAGTTTCATTTGTTGGAGAAACAGCACGACGTATTCCGCAAACTGAAGGAGAAGTTCGTACTCCGACCTCATAACCCTATTTGTATTTTCAAAATTTCGATTTTCTAAATGATATAATACTCTATTCGACAAATTTAACTTGAGCTAACGACCCAAGATTTTTTATTACAGACAGCATTTTTATTTGAGTTAAAACATTTTCTTGTTTTGAATTTTTTTAACATTATTTTTCTATTCCTTATTAGCACGAAATAATAGGACTATTTACTGATTTGCACCAGGTTATGGCAGGTTTCAAAAAGAATGGTATTTCATGAAAATTTTTTTGAAAAAAAATAGCAACGTAGATCATGATTTTCTGCTCTGACTGGTCGCGATAAGAAAACGAAAAAAAAAAGAATCTGACAAAGAAATGTTTGTCAGCAGAGCAAACAACTTAACAAATACATGTGTATATAAAAAAAATTCCAAAAATTTCAAAAAAATTATATATTGTTTACCATAAAAATTTTAAATGTTCGCTTTTAAAAAATTGCTGCCTGAAAAATGTTTCATGCGCCTTCTGCTCTAAAACTGTTTATTTTGATTTCGATGTTTTAAAATTAAAACCTTATCCTCCGGAAACAAATTATTAACAACGAAATTTAGATTAAATACAAATAATGCATTTCTAATATACAATTTATTATATGATAAGAATATTGAATATTAATTTTCATTTAAAAAGCGTTTCTCTACCACAATTTGCGATAATTTTTTACATATATTTTTTTTAACTTGAAATTCCCATACCCAGCCCACCTAAGCTGATTAAATTCAATAAACGTTTCTCAATTAGTTGAAAATTAACACAAATTAAGGCTACTTAATTGGTAAAGACAGGCCAGTTTCATGCGATTGCATGCCAAAAACGGCCACATCCCAAACCAAAGCGAGTTGCCGCCGAAACACTTTCTCGCAAAAAATCAACAAACAAATAAATACAATTAAAAAAAAGTACATATGTATGTGTATATCGTATCGTATGTATATACCTGGCTGAAGATATACTATATTCATTGGCAAAAGCCAGACCTAATGTATTAATTATGGTTTTTATGAGACCAACAACATCTACTCCTCAAAATAGTTGTTGATATTGTCTGCCCACTTAACGAATATTTATGTTAAAAAAAATGCATTAAAGTTGTTAAAAGCATATTATCCAAAACGTAAACATACTTGTGTTAAAAAAAATTGAAAGAAACTCAAATGCAATGGCAGTCACTGAAGAGGGCGGGGTGGTGCAAAAAAAAAGTGTTGAATTAGGCGCATGGCATGGGTGGCATACCAATGAGCTAAAAACGTGAAAAAAAACGTGTATACGAGTGTGTGTGCGTGTACAATAAATGCGTATGTGAAGCCGGCAAAAAAAAAAGGAAAAGTAAAATACTAGCTTATTATGTATGTATGTAAGAGTAAATAACTGAAAAAAAATAGAGAAATTCAAAGCAGTTGTTGATGTTGATGTTGTTGTTGTTGTTGATTAAAAAAAAAGGAAAGTAACCATTGTGCAGTACAACAAATGGCCAAGCGGCATACCAAATAGCCTTGGAGAAATCATTCACTGGGACGACGACTGAATTGCAAATGGAAATAGAAAACATCGAAACATACAAACACATATAAATACTTTTTGACAATAAATAAGACACCGACAATAAACAAAAAAAAAAATTTACACTGTTATGCCTACCAAATAACTGTTATTAGGCGACATACGATAAATAAAAAAAAAAATTTTACAGGAGTTAACTTAAAAGGAGAGTAAGAAAGAAACAAGAGTTTAAAAAAAAAGAAGCAGCCAAAACTAATTCTCTTTGCAGTTAAGTATGTCAGCTATGCAATTAAAAAAAAAGTACACAGTTGCACCTGTAGCAAGTTTGCTTGCCAATATGTTGGTCTGTCCAAAAAAAAGAAGCAGATAAGAAATATTTGCAAAGCATGTGCTTGGAGTCTTCAATTAGAGAAAAAAAAAATTTTAAGTCTTAAAACAATAAAATAAAAAACGAATTAAAATAAAATGAAAAAAAAAAAATAAAATACAATACAATAATATGAAGTAAAATAAATGAAATAAAAAAATTAAAAAAAAAATAAAAAAAAACACGAATTAAAACAAATATTAGTAAAACTATATTATATATGTTATATTAAATTAACAAATCATTTCATATTAAATCAAATAAAACAGAATAAAATGAAGTAAAAAAAAAAAAAATGAATAAAACAAAAAAAATAAATAAAGTTAAATATAATAAAAATGTATAAAAAAAAAAAAAATAAAATTAAAATAAATTAAGTAATATAAAAAAAAAATAAAAAAATAAAAAAAAATAATACAAAACAAAATAAAATGAGGTAAAAGATAATAAAATTAAATAAAATAAAAAAAAAATAAAAATTAAATTATATTAAATATCAAAAATCAATTAATTTAAAATAAAGTAAAAAAAAATAAAATGAAATAAAAAATAAAATAACATAAAATAAAAAAAAATTCAATTCAAAAAAAAAAAATAAAATAAAATAAAATAAAATAAAATAAAATAAAATAAAATAAAAATCAAAAAAAAAAAATAAACTAAAATAAAATAATATAATGTAAACTATAATAATATAAATTAAAAAAAAAAATATGAAAGAAATCAAATTAAATATATTTGAATTAAAATAATATAAATAAAAAAAAAATTTCAAACTAAAACAAATTAAAGCAATTTAAAATAAAATAATTTAATCGAAATTAAAAAAAAATAAAATAAAATATATTAAAAAAAATAAATAACATACAATAAGAAAAAAAATAAAAAAAAAAAAACAAAATGATATATTGTAAAATAGGAAAAAAATATATTATGGGTAAATAGATATTAAAATAGACCTAAACAAGGTAAAATAAAGTTGAATAACTTAGCTAAAAGTTAAAAAAAAAAATAATAAAATAGACAAAACAAAAAAATAAAACTTAAATAAATAAATAAAAATAAAAAAAAATCCAATAAATGAAAACCGAATGTAAAATCAAATAAAAAAATGGAATCAAATCAAAAAAAAACTTCAAAAAATGTTAATGAAAAATATCAAGCCTAAATAAAATAAAATAAAGAAAAAAAAATGATAAATACGATAAAAGAAATTTAAACAAATTAAATAACATAAAATTAAAAAAAAAAATATGTGAAATAAAATAATAAAAATGACGCGTAAAAATCCTGATTTTAATTTAAACAAATTAAATTTCATTAAATTAGCTAATACTGTTATATATTAAAATGAAATAAACTGGAAAAAAAAAAAATTTTATTTAATGACATTTAAAAGAAACGAAAATTTAAGTAAAAGAAAAAAAAAAAAAATAAAATAAATAAATAAAAAGCTTAAACAAAATGGAATAAAATGGGATTAAAAAAAAAAAATATAAATTGAACTAAAAAATTTTTTTTGAAATGTAAAATTAATTAAATTGAAAAAAAAATATATAATATTTAATAAAAATTTAATTGAATCAAAGAAAATATAGAAAATTAAAAAAAAAAAATTTAAATATATATTCGCTTATGATTTCCTTTACAAAATTATAATTTAATCAGCAGTTTACTTCATAAATATTTTTAAAATAAATTTTTTAAAGCAACTGTAGCAAACCATTCCTAACACATTTCACTCAATATAACACAAACGAAATAAAACTCTCACCTTAACTGTTGTTTGTAACGCAATATGTTGCACTTGCAACTTACAGCTTGTTGCATATACTGTAATTCAAAAAAAAAATTCCCATCTTTTATCCATATTTAATGAAAAAAATGTTTCTTGAAAGCCAATCAAAAAAAACACATATCTACATTCAAATATACTTACATTAATACATATTTATGTATACGCAAAAAAAAACTTCTTCACTGCGTGCGATGCTTTGAAACTTTGGAAAGCTGTTTTCTCCTTCAACTGCGACAATAACAACAACAAAAACAGCGCATCGCCTTGCGCATGTTTAGGATTGTTCACTTTGTTGTTGTTGTTACTACTGTTGGTGTTTTTTTTTTTTTGCTTTCATTGCATTCTCAAAAAAAATGTGATGACATTTGTTGTTGTTGCTTTTAATTTCTTGTTTATAATTTATGACCAACTATTTAAAATGAGTTTTCTAAACCATTTCATAGAAAGCTTGTTGATCCTGTCGTTGAAAAAAAAGGAGTTGCAAATACATACATACCATACTATGCATCTATATAAGATATTCGTGAAAAAAAATGTATAAATTGTTCATGGGTTGGTGCAGTTGCGCACAACTGCAGTAGATATTAAAAAAAATATACATGCGTACATACATAGTACATACAAAAGTGCTTATATGTATGTGTGGAAAAAAAAGTGTGGTTACTGAGAACGGAGATATGTTTGGTTGTACGAGTGTGTAATAAATTTGTAAAATTGCTCTGTTGAACTATAGCCATTTTCCCACACAACAACAACTAAATAAAACAACAGCGACCAGGACAAGTGTTGTAGTGGAATATTTTAAATACTCAATTTATTGTTTGGAAGTTTGCAAGTGTTGGTGTTTTTAAAACTTTTTGTGTACTTTTCTTTAAAAATTGCTTGCAAAAAAAACTCATGTAGGGTCTTTAGGGAAACTTAATCATAATTTTAGTAATTGGAAAATAAAAAAAACGTGAGTTTAGTTAAAGTTTGGATTTTTATGGATTGTAAATGGTGATAAAATGCAAACAAAAAACAACGGTAATGGATTAATTTTACTTAAGCGCATAGATCAATTTCTATTAAATTCTCTCGCTGGGAAATGGGAATAAGAGTGAGCTTTTTGAAAGCGAAAAATTAAAAAAAAATTACAACAATGCAAAAACTCCACATTACCGTCATTCAAATCATCTCAACAAACAAGTTTCTACACATCGTTATTCCGCCAGTTACGGTGTGTAGTAAACACAGCGATTGGTAAATAGCTTCTGGGATTCCTTTTAAAGAGAACCCAGATTCGGAAGGACTTGCATTCCGAGCAAACGAAATCAAATCAAGTTAATAAACAAGTTCGTTGGGTCAGAATCTTTGGATAGCGTCCACACTGCTGAGCTTTTATAATTGATCAATGTGTCTAGTTTTCTTACAGGAACTTGTATAGTATAAAAAAAATTTCATTTTCTTGGATAATCCTCAAATTAGGTTTCATCGATAGCAGCAACTTAAAAAAAAAGCTTTTAAACCGCTTTGCCTTGCTGCTCTTTCCATATTTTCATACTTATTTTCCTTAAAAAAAAATAACTAATTGAATAATTGTTTTCTCTATCTCATTTCATAAACTTCTCCCCATCAGCGCGCGGCAAGAAGAAGGAAAAAAAGAAGTATCTCCTACCATTGCTAATGCTCTTCAAATTGAAAATGGCCGCTTTACTGCCGCTCGCTATCGGTTTCCTCGCATTGATCTCTTTCAAAGCGCTCGTTATCGGCAAAATCGCTTTGCTGTTGAGTGGTATTATTGGATTGAAGAAACTGCTCGAATCGAAGAAGGAGAACTATGAAGTTGTAGCACATCCGCATTACTCGCAAAAAAAACACGGCTATGGACGTTCGCTGCACGAAGCACAAAAATTAGCTTACTCAGCGTATAAGCAATAGGGTCAGCGGTTGGACGGACGAAAGACGGATGTGGCTAAACGGGTGTGCAATAAATATGTATATCCTGAAACGAACAAAAAAAGAAAAACACAAAAATAACTTAATTTAAAAAAAAAATCTAATTTATTTATTTATTTAATTTAATACAAAAAAAAAATCATTGACTTAAATTTAGTGCAAAACTTTTTTTGTTTTGCCTAAAAAAGGAATATATAAAGAACGCCATGTTTTTATTTTTATACTTTTATCGAAGGCAGAAGTGAGGAATTTTGGATGGTGAAAATTTTTAATTTTTTAGTTAATTTTCCAAAAACAAAAGAGACAGTGGAAACTTAAAAAACATGCTCATAAAAAAAATGTTTTTTTTTTTAGTTTTTGGGCTCACATTTCACTAACACACACTCGGTTAAAAAAAAATTCATTTATTACATTCTCTTAAAGGCATTTTTACATTATTTAGCATTCCATCAAAAAAAAGTTAGTCTACTCTCTACAGCAATACGCCTGTCGTTCTCTCTGCCTGTACGTCAAAAAAAAACATATGTGTGTACATATGTAGTCAATTTATAAGCTCGCTTTATTGTTTTAAAAAAAAAAATATTTGTATGTATGTACAACTAGTTTTTATGCTTTATTATAAAATTATTGTAAAAAAAAGTATGTATATTCACCGCTATTGTGTTCTACTAAACTATAAACACACATACACAAAAAAAAATAGTATTTACAAAATGCATTGACATATTTGCGCAAAAGTCAACTCAGTACTAAAAAAAATTTTTTTTAGTGAAGTTTCTTCTCAGCTATTTTTTGATTACTCTCATTAAAGACTGGCTTTTTGGTTCGCTTCTATGTACTTTTACGCGTACTTAATGACTCAACGAATAACAAAAAAAAATGATACCTTAACCTAAGCTAACTACTGCTCCGCATAACTTCATTAATTCACAAAAAAAAACTAACAAATTCTGCTACAGTGTTTTGAAAACTTCTCTAAAAGCTCTTACTTAAAAAAAAGCTCCTAAATTCATATATATATATATATATATGCGAGTGTATATGGCTTAGAAAAAAAAAACCTAATTTCAATCTCTCCTTGTCTTCATCGTTTTACTCTTTTTATTTAGATAAAAAAAATATATATATATTTATATCTGTGTACAGTACAAAACTAACAGCAACAACAACTAAAAAAAATACTCTCATTATCATTAATTAACGCATTTAGTAAATTTTTTCTCTTAAACAATTAATTTAATTAATTTCTTTAACATTTAATAATGCATTTACAACAAAAGCATTTATAATTAAAAAAAATATAAAAATAAAACCCAATAACTGAAACAATTTCTGTGCCTTGAACTGCCGTAAAAAAAATCAGTGCAACGAAGAACGAAAAGCAAAAAAAACAACAAAAATAAAAACTGAAAAAAAAAATAAAAGTACAGTTTTTAGCAAATAAAAACATATGCAAGCCTTCCAATGTATTTATTTTTTTGGAAAATAAATGTTTTAAAAAAATTAGAAATATAATAGTTTTCATTCTATTAGATTTGACTTCAAAAGGTATGTATATATTTAATTCATATTAATTCTTAGCGATTTGTTATTTTTTTATACTTGAAGTCGAGGCCTTCGGCTGTCAATATTAAATATATTGTATACATATAAAAAAAATTTAAAATCGCGGCCGCGGTGGCCGAGTGGTTAGCATTGCTTACTGCTATTCAAAAAAAACGGCTTTAAATCCTAGTGTCGTACTAACATCCAAAAAATCATAAAAAAAATTAATTTAAACAAAAAATTAAACTAAATTTTCTAGCTGCGGTCGCCCCTCGGCAGGATATGTCAACCCCTCCGAGTGTATTTCTGATATGATGAAATAAAGTCTCCTCGTAAAAAAAACATCAAAAAAAAGGGGCGCCTTAGTATAAACTGTAGGTCTCTCTATTTGTTGGGAAAACAGCAAGACCCAAAGCCACAAATTGGAGAAGGAGCTCCGCCGAAACAACGGTTATAAAGCGCCAATAAAAAAAATATATATATTTATATACCTAGAGATTTGAAATTGTAGTACAATATAACTTACGGCTATGTAGTGTCTAGTACGGAAATTAAAGAACATCTTCTAAAAGAGTGCGTATGGTCAAAAAAAAAATTTCGAAGGTGAAAATATAGGTGGAATAAAAAGAAATACATTACTTTTCCAAAAAAAAAACAGTTTTGTTTGAACGTGCGTGAAAGATGGGCACCAGCAAAGAGAAAATACTTTAAATTTTGCAGTTTTTTTCGACAGCTGAACTGGTAGCGTTTATGGGTCAGATACTGCAAAAAAAAATCATGCACAATTTTGGTTTAATTTCGGTAATTTTGATGTAAAAGATGCCTAACGGTGTGAAAGGCCAAATGAAATGGGCATTATCGAGTCTAACCTTTATGTAAGCACTTTATCTATTGCCCAAGAGCTAAAGACTGCACAAAAAACCGTTTGGAACCATTTGATAAGCCCTCAATTTAACGCAATTATAATGAATTACTTATTACTACACCCAATACAAATGGCCTTGCAAAAAAAAAGTCAACGAATGTCGCTGCTAAAAGTGTATAGGGATTATTGAGATAATTTCCAGATTCTTTCAATTATAGAGGGTTGCCTTTCCATTTTCGGGATTTGACAAACCTAGTCTTGCAATCTGGCAACTGACAGCTTTAATGTAAGGTTTGACATTTTTGATGTCATACATGCTCAAAAAAAAAGGCATAGCTGCGCTATTTGTGTTGCTTAAAGTAACTTAAAATATTCATCTATGCGAGTAAATATGGCTTACACTATTCTAACCTAATTTCAATCTCTCCTTGTCTTCATCGTAAAAAAAATTTTATTTAGATATATATATATAGTACAAAACTAACTGGAAATAAATCGCGAAAAAAAAACCGTACTTATTTTTCAACTTTCGATGTGGATTAGCTCAGCAGCATTGCATCGATGAACTCAATTTCATTTCAGGTGACCAAGCTCCCTCAAGGAGCAGTCTTTATCGATGATAAAAAAAATTTAATCGAGATCGTAGACCAGTCCAAGATGAATTTCGTAAAGTCCGCCTAGATGCCAGCTCTTCTTTCAATAACGCTGAGTGATCTATCGTGAGATCAGAATACATTCAATAAAAAAAAAACATTTGTCTGCATAAAAATTTGTCAATCGCTCGAAAAAATGGCAAATATGAAAGCGTTGCTTCGAAACACGTCTATTAGATCGTGGATAGACGGGTATGTGCCCGAAAGTAAAAAAAAGCCGACTATAGGGTTCGCGCATGAAGCACTTCCGTAGCTTGGCGCCACCCAGTTTCGAGTCGAACAGTACATCTCAGAAATCACTGTGCGGAAGCCTTATTTTAGTAAATATTGGTACTTAAAATTCAATTGCACCTTCGTGTACTTTTACTTTCCATACTCCGCTTGACACAAAAAAAAATAGTATAACACTCATCATCACACTATTCAAACATACTTATTAGGTAAGCTACTTTTAATAGACAGTAAGTCTGACAAAGGTCCAGAAATAAACCTATTTTAACTCCCATGATCTTTATATAAATACAAGCCGATTTTTTAACTTTTGTTCCTACCCGAACTTTGTCTTGCGAAAAAAAATGTAGCAAGCTTTAAAACCGTTAATCCAAAATGGTATTTTGGTATACATTAGGTCCTGAAAGTTTCCGGAATTTGTTTTTAGATATTCGCGCTTTGGTTCATCAAGATATCTTTCCAACAGGGCAGACCGTCAATAAAGAGTATTCTTTTAGCGTTTTGCCGCATTTTCGCAAAAACATCCGAATTTAGAAGCGCCAAAGAGCTCATAATAACTTCTATCGTAATAAATTAAGTGATCACTCGCAACATCTCCATTTACATCTCGCCCTTCATCTTAGAACTCCACCCAAAAATTTCATATTTTAAAATTGAGGTATGGTTGTCCCCAATCACCTCTAGTTTTTTGTTTTTATTATGAGCTACAACCCCGGAACATCTTCAAGAACTGGGCTCAATTTACATACATTTATAAGTATTGTTTTTCCCCACCTTCCCTACTCTTAAACACTCTCTATCTCTCCTTCCCCCCGAAAAAAAAAAAATAAAAATTATACTAAGAGACTTTAGCATCCCACATAACTTCAAGGTCTTATTTAGTAAGTATTTAGTCCGCAGTCTTCGAAGGCAGGAAGCTGTGAACTTATGGACACTAAAAAAAAAGCTGAACGCTTAAGAAATCAACCTGATCATTACTTTTGCTAGTACTGTCTCAAGCCAGAAGTGAAATAATCTCAACGTTTCCTTCTCGTCTGCCTCAGCTAGGATACTCTACGGTATATTTCATAAGCCGCCATATGGATGAGGATTCATTGATTCTTTTTCAAAAATCAGCTTCAGAAAAGACATATTGAATTGATTCGAATTCTTATTGTTCTAGATCTAGATCTGAATGAAAAAAAAAAAGATGAAAATTAATTTGCAGTGGAACTTATTCAGACGCACAACCCGTCTCCCTTTTAAGTCAATTTTAAGTCTGGGCTTGAGAATTTGTTTGAAATGACCATCTGTAGATTTTTATGTTTTATTGCAACTGATTAATAATATGTTTAACTATTGTAAACATATCTACGTATCTACTTCAATTTTTTTGCACATGCCGCTGGCTTAACTTAATGTCTAAAGAAGCTATCGACAGTGACCCTCATTTCACACATTCTCGCACACATTTCTATTTTATAATTATTTCAGTTAGAAAAAAAATTGCCTCTCTTCTCCACGTATATATATCGGTACAATATTTTTGTAATTAAATCATGCTAAGACTCGGGCATTCATGTAATGAGTTTTTTTGTTGCTACCTGTCTATCTGGTTAAAAAAAATAACTGCAACAGAGAATTGTTTCGACTTTGTTGCAAATAATATGATATGTGTAAAAAAAACTGTGTTGAAGGCAAGGTAAAACACTCATAAATACATATGTTGCATAGAACTAAAAAAAAAAAAGCAAAGTTAGATGCAAAAATTCTAAACAAATCATAACAACGTAAGTTGAAGGAA